TGTTCTGGGAAGTGGGCAGGAGTCCAACACTCACGGCTTTAATGCCAATTGAAACCTGACTAATTAAATGGAGCATTTTTTTGTCTGGAGTCTGCAGTCTACCATTGAGGAAGTAGCATTGCAAAAGAAATCTCACTTCATGCATAGCCTGCAGAAAAGGGTCATTTCTCGTCAGTGCTTCCATAATTTAAATGGAGTTGCCAGAATCAAACCTCCAAAATGCAGATCATAGTCAAATTTAATTCTCTTGGGGAATGTATGATGGAGAAATTCCCAAACATTGCAGATTTCCACTGTTCTAAAGTTATATAAATCAGTGAATAGGTTAGGGAGATGGCTTCAACCAGTGACATGAGTGGAGCAGATAAATGTAGATGATTAGCACTCAGGTCAACGGTAGTGCAGTGCCCTAACTGAGCCCTGGACAAGAGATGTAAAGAGTGCCAATAGAGAGAACCTGGCACGACTACAAGTTCATTAAGGTCAGTCATTATATTCTGGATTCCCTGCATGCCCCCAGTTAAAACTACCCATCAGGTGACTGGGGCACTGAATAGAACAACAATTAAAAATTATAGTTGGAGGTAAAGTTCAGGAATAAACCACATTAAAGACGTGTATCATTGGCCCTACAAAAGTTAATTTTTTAAAAAATGTTGAGGTGTCATTTTTAATTGTTTCTATTATGAAAGGTCAATTGTCAAATGCCAAACGAGCAATGCATACGGCAGCAAAGTCTAAGTAAGAATACCAAAAAAACAATTCTGTGACTATAAATATGTACTCTGCAGTGACTGCTCCAATGCTGATGCCCAGTATTGTGCTGTCATGGGGTGATTTGCCCTGCAATACACTGCTTCCCTTAAAATACACCAGGCCTTAATCTTTTTTCAAAATCATTCTGACTTACTACCTTTCTCCTTGCCTTTAAATTACCTTCTAAAACTGTACCTTAAGTATGTAATCAGTTTAGTTGAGAGGTAACTTACATTGGGGTACTGCAGGTTCAAGTGTTACTGCAATTTTCTGACATTCTATATTCAAACTCATCGAACTCTCCAGACTGAGATTATTCTCAATGCTCCTTTCATATTACATATGCATCCACGTTGCTGGATTTAGTCTGCCTATTGATGGTTAGTATTTGGACACATGTTATTCAGCATATTCTGCATTGGGGTTACTATAAATAAGGAAATGTTTGCAATTTGAATTGAATTCAAAATAATAGGATCCCAGTCATGTGTACATAGAGTGAAAAATCAATTTGACTGTATCCATAAATGCCTCCGCAGCTGTACTTGGACTGAACCCCCTGAGTACTATTCCCATGTGGCATTGCTGTCAATATTTTCTGGCTTTTTTCCCCATTGTTAGTCACCTGGCATTAATAACTGCCTTTTTATATACACCTTACTGGCTTCATAAAATTATTAAGAAGGTACCCCCTTAATAGCCTTAACAAACTAATGTTCTTCTGTTACTATTTGCATTTGTAATTATGCCAATATAGGAATGCCAGGGAAGTGCAAACCACATAAGAATTGTCCGTTAACATGATCTCTCATCATTACACCTTTATTCACTCAGATTGAAACTATTGATAAATTTAGCAACAAGAAGAATATCGGGCCCAGAATTCCTAGTCAGGTAGAGTTTCTGCGTAGTATTTGCACTGGTGGAGAATTGGGGATATTTATTGTCTTTGAAAACTATATGAGGCAAAATATAATATGAATAACCGTATTTGTCTATGTACATATATATTTTGTAATTTATACAATATATAGAAACATTAAATCCATAATGCTCAAATACACCAAAAATTACAAAAATTATTTGTAGAAAATATAATTTTTAATTGTAGTCTCTTTGCGTTTTAATGTTGGACAGACATTTTTGCATGGTTTTATGGTACCTCAGAAGGTCAACTACTGTATTTGGAGAGTTAACTATGGATTTGCTTTTTTTTCATTATTAAAAGTAAAGGTGTAAATGAATTGAGAAACAGCTTGAATATATTTAGATTATTTCAGTTCACCATCTGATGCTGCACTATTTATCTATTATAAAAATCTATTGTTTGTGTCCTGAGGAAAATTACAAACTGCAGGCTATGTACGTGGCAGGAAATTGATGGTGCATAAAAGTTGTTTACCAAGACATTCTTCAATAGATGTTCTTCATTTGGTGTGATGTTTGAGCTGATGCAGACCATATAAAATTGAATGACTCTTTAAAATGTTCTGTGATGCCAAAAATGTTTTCCTAGCAATCTTTGCTTTTGCGAGGAAGTGATCAGTCTAACTATTTAACAGAGCTCAAGAGCTTCACCAAATGCCCATTAGGCAGAGGCATCAGTGAACTACTCAGAGCTAAATGTCAGATTAAATTCCCAGTCTATGCTGAGTTAGCCAATCTAGGCAGGGCAGCTTTGGAACATGACAATTGGCCTTAGATCCCTTGGGCTGGAGGTGGAAAGATATTGACCTGATTTCTTATTGATTGACCTAGTGACTCCTGCTGGAAACTGAACATATGAGGTTAGAAATGGATTAGGCTTAGCTATGACAACTTCCATTATCAAATGGCCTGTTGATACTCAATGTCTAAATTCATAGAAGAATGACCACTAGGGGTGAGGTATCAGAGAAATGCCAGCACATGGGAAATCATATTCCAGTAAGACTGAGTGCATTCAGGAGAGGAAGGAAGAAAATTGGCAAGACCTCAGAAATGTTTTTAACCACGTCATCACTTGATAAACAGACATCAAAGGCTTGTCATAAATACCACTAAAGATACCAGCTTTGTACAATCATTCTGGTTATCATACTACATCAGCATACAGGTAATACACCTATCCTGGTGTATTACCACTTTCTATTCCATTGCTCACTAATAAAAACATGGTTCAGCTACAACATCACATTCCTTGGATCCTTGAAATGGTCAATTTTTATTTAATTTGAAAACATTCTCAACGGTGCCACAGAATTCAGACAATTATGTGAAAGTATCAGCAATGATCCTACAATAATAAATATTACAAATATTCATAGAAATACTGGTAGAAACTGCAATTACTTCGTTCTTTTAGATTTTTTCACACTTTTATGAGTACTGAAGTTTGGGTGCAGTATTTGGCAATTTATTTGTTATGCTGAATTTTGCTTTGAGCGCAAAGTTACTTTCAGAAGGTTGTCTAAATCTTACTGATCTCTCATGTAAGGTGCATATTTGTTTCTCACCCTCTAATAGAGAATCCATAAAGAACTACTCCCTTCATTATGTGTTTTGTATGTCTTAAAAAGAACATTTACTGTATAGTTAAAAATTGGCATAGCTAGAAATTTCAATTGGGTAAGAACGGAAAAGTATCCTTGTGTACCATCATCTATTAAGCTAGTACAACATTTCTACAGCAGCAAAGCATTGTTTTGCAACACTGTGAAGTCCAGCATTTCTGCCTCTTACCACCAATGTTAGCAATTAATCAATAATTTCAAACAATTGTACTTTCTACAAGAGGAGACGATCTGTTTGCTGATGCAATGCAATGTTACAGTGTTTTCACAGTCTTTCTACGAAGCCACCCTGGAACTGGCAATCAATTTAATGATAAGATTAGCTCTACATAATCAAGAAAATAAGAGCGTGCTGGTAGATTTATATTTATTATCCCTTTATTCCTTACCGAGACATTATCATAAATAAAATGAAGAATATGTTGCACCAATGAATAAAGGAAAGCAGTATGCCCCAGCCCAATTAATCTCCACACTGACCTCTTAGCTCGATCTGACCTTCTCAATTTCATAACAGTCATCCCCTAAAGGTGCAAGGAACCCTAAAGGATGCAAAAAGGTTAGAAACCCTGGGACATTCTCAGCAGTTTGATAGTAGTAGTTGTGGTAATAACAGCAGCAAAAAGCTTCAATCGTTTTCCCTCAGCAATTCTGATTCTATACACACAAAGAAAAATAATTTCTTTAACTCTACTTCCTTTTCTAACTACCTTTTTTTAAATTACTGCCTTCCTTTGTGCATATAATGTTGCTATGACAATTAATAGAACCGTCTCTCACTGCTAACACAAACTCATTTCAATTAATTATGTAGTTAATGTGTCATCAAACAAGAAGATAAAATTGCTGGATGAGCCCTTGATTTAACCTTATACCAAATTAACATACTTTGATTTTAAAGTGACGCTGATTTATTCTTTCCAAGAAACAAAGCAGCCTGGCAACATATTTTCATAGAAAAATGGTGGACAAAGTGAAACTATTTTGGTAAAATACTGAATAAGAGGTTACAAAAAAAATCAAAGGAATCATGGCAAACTGATATGGATCATTTGAGTCAGTAATGAATGATATTAAAAGAAAATGTGTTAAATGTATGAATAAACTTTAGCATATTTTGTTATTAACTTTATGAAATTAGTTAACGTAATTTAGCAAGACTGAAGCTTTTTATTTATTCATTAATAAAAATATTAGTTTACATATTGACCTGTTGCTGCTACCAACATGTTATTAAAAAATAAAGCATGGGCAGAATGCTATTTTGCAGGTGGATTTATCTATTTTTTTAAACTTAGAATTTCAAAATATGTGAAAGTGAATGCCACCAGTTCCTGAGAAATGAATGCATATGTTCTTTCTTACATACAATTATGCAAGTGCTATACTTTCTGGTTCCAACAGTGATGTAAATTACTTATATGGGAATGTTATCCATGTGACTCCTGTTGCAAATAATTTATCAAGTCAAGTTTCCAAGAGTTAACAGGTAAGTTTTTGAAACGTTATAATGTTTTTTTTAACGTATTAGTTTGGCAACGGTATGACAGAAGCGTCAAGAACATATAGAAAAACCTGTGAACATGATATTCAACTGACAATATGAGCCACTCATTATTGATTGCAGCCCTGACCCAAATTATTGTAAAACTAATTGACACATCTCAGAATAATCATTTCAAATCTTGTAGTTTTAATTAACTCTATCTGCACAGTTTAGGCACTTGTGTGACATATTATTTACAAAACAATCTTTGGTCAATGAATGTTTCTTTGTCACAGAATCATTTAAACACTTCAAAAATGTTTTCCCCATGCATTTCTAGTTGCAATTAACTGTTATGTTTCCAGAACAATTTAAATATAAATTGTTGTTTTATTATGCTACGTGAGATCCTGACAGCAGATTAACTTTGTTTTATGCCTTCAATAAGGAATGTGACTTTCAGTTCTAACTATGATCACAAAAGCATGAGTAGACAGTGCTTATCGTTCACACTATCCAACTTCATCTGGTGACACTAATTACATCTACATTACTTTTAACTTTTTAATGTCTTTTATGCCCCCTACGCTAAAAGATATGTCAGTGTTTACACAGTTCTGAGATCATCTTTGCTGACTAAATACATATGGAAACTAAATGGCACACCGACAACTTGGTCATTTCTTATTTGCAGATCAATTTAAAAGTGAGTTACCTCACTAGGGCATACATCTGAACAGCTGATCTGACTGGCAAACAGCAGCTTATTCATTAAGTTCCAATCTGCTTCTTTCATCAGATCTCTGGGGATCTCGAAACACATGTCTTGTTTAAAAATCTGAGATGTGCATTCTCAGTAGTACTAAACAAGACCAGGCTGCATATGGATGTGTAGTGGGTAGGGCTGAAACAGAACTTGTGGCTGTCCTTGTGCAATATAATAATTGCTGAAGTTTCGGTCACTGACGTAAGGTGCAGGCTGGTAGAAGCAGGTGACATTGGCAGCATTTGGAATGATGTTCTGCTCCCCAAGCACTCTCAGAGCCAAAAGAGTGATCATATTCAATGTTTGTCTTCTCTCATGGCCCATCAAGCAAACTGTGCTTTGATTCACAATTCGACGCAAAGTCATCAAGTAATCATACTTGCTTTTCTCTTCTCCAATAAAATGGTATTGCAGATAGGACTCAATTTTCCTTTGTTGTTCAGATACGTCTGGAAAGTCAATGAAAAATCTTGAGCACATGTAACGCTCTAAGCTTTTGATCTCTACATCAGATGCTGGTTTGAATTCTCGAACTAAGAGGTTGCTGTATTTCAGCAAGCCACCACCGCGAATTTCTTCTGGGTTTCTTGTTGCAATTAGCTTATACTTTAGGTGATCCATTGCTTCTTCAAAGTCTCCATACATGCTCTCTGCTACCACCTCTGGGTGGGATTCTTCTGTCATTGCACCTTCAGAACAATTGAAGAGAAGCAGCAGTGAGTCCAGAATTATTTGGAAAGAGTCGACACTAAATTCAAATTGCCGCCTTAATGAATTGACAAATTTTAGCTCAACGTTTTTCCCGCTATTATTTGACAAAGAGATGAGACTCCATCGATCGTAATCATTGGAAACCTTGACCATTTTCTGAACGTATGCCTCTTTTAACGTAAGTCTTGTGATCTTTTTCGTATTCACTCCTTGAGGTAGGAAGTCTAGAAGGCAATCTAAAACCACCCTCTTCACAACCTGAAACTCTTCTTCTCCGGGTAACTCTACTCCAAAAATAATGTCAAGGTCTTTGTAGCGGGTTCCATTTTGCTTCACAAGGATGTGACTTGCTGTTGAGCCATTGAGACGAATATCACGGACTGTAATCCCTTTCTCTTCCAGGCGATCTTTCACGACATGAATTATGTCTTTTGGTTTCACCTCTAGAGTTGGAAAATTACCTCTTCCATGAATAGGTATCACTTCTGTCAGCACGTGATCCAGGCTCTTAACTTGCTCCCAACTCAGATTATTATACCTGCGATCACGATCAGGACTTTCGCCCATGTCAAGATTTTGTCTGAAATTTGAAAACAGTAAAATAATGTCAGTGACAAGTGAACAGGTAAAGGTAACATTTCATGAGTGTTATTATTCAGAATCAGTTTATTATGCACCATCACAAAATTTAAATGTGATTATTTTAATAAAGTTGATGGATCAATTTATTTTATTTACAATGCATTGTCCATCAGATGGATTTACTTTAGGGGAAGTGTGACTTTGAGAAGCTAGAAATCAAAGACAAATATCTTCATGGAGTTTCAGTGACAGTTTTCCTCTAAGAATTAATTTATTATAGAAAACCATTACACCAAGTATTGAAAATCATTTTTTTTCTCCCTGTATGGTCCTATTTATGGTGTTGGTATGGTCAGAACAGTTATTCTTGAGCCCAAACTGAAAGGAAATAATGATTTTCTGGGAACATGCTATTCTGTTGGACAGCTTTAAAGCATGCTCAATAATATAATTCATTGAATGCTCCTGCATGAACATGAACTACAATTTAATATGAACCCAATCACCAATTTAATTCATCGTGTCCCTCAATGCCCTTTGGTCTTTAATCTGTTAATTATGTTTAATTTGCTCATGTTAATAATTCAATCGTAGTTAAAAAAAAATAACAATTGAATCTGCAAAATGGATTAGTCGTAGCTTAAGTATTACAATTCCAAACCGAGTCCTCTTGGGCATAAATGTATGTACAGTATATAAGGGCAATGTGAGATTTTTTTTAAAAAATGCTTTGCAAATACAGGAGTGAGTGTGAGGTTATTATATCGGTGCTCCTTGCTTGAGCACATTTTGATCACAAGCGTTCCCCCAAACAAAACCCTGAGACACACACCCCTGACAATGTGTATCTTCAGCCAAACTGCTGTATATATAAAAAAAAGAATGAAATAGAAGGTCATCATATCATATCATACGGATAGGCATTCGTCCCAACTTGTCAGTGCCAGTGTTTCTATTCCACACCAGTCTCCACCCTTCCTCGTCACCTCTCCCATACAACCTCTGTACGTTACCAATCACACTCATGGTTAAAAACACACACACACACACACACACACCATTGTGGATCCAAGAGAGAAGGTGCCTTACGCTGACACGTCCGTTCATTGATAGAATTGCAGCTTTTTCCCCTGTCTCAAGGCCACAGTCATTCAGTCGGATCGCGCGTAATAAGACCCAGTAACGTTACGACGCAAATCGGACTGTAACTGCGAGAGGCTGTTAGGAAATGTTTTCCTTTACCGTTGACATGTCATCACGCCATTTCATCACCACAAGTCTCACACACGGGCTTTTGCATCTGCATATCCCAGGTGTGGCTTTACCTGCCCTTACAGTAATGTAGCAAATTACTCATCCAAAGTAAAGCGATCGCTACGCGGCTGTGACCCTTCCCGAAACCCTAACCTTTTCATTCTCTGTCTGTGGTTTCATTCATAAGACCTCTGGGATAAGGGTCACAAATCGCACAGCTCGACACCAGACTCGTCCACGCGAACAGAAATACGTGCGGATAGATTGCAAACTGTTTATGATCTGCACAAAGGCACAATGTGAGTAGCACAAAGTCTTCTTTTTCTGACCCCCCACAACAAAAAAATAAATAACGTTGTACAGGAGAAACGGTCGATGATCGGGATTGATTGGTCTGCATTCTGTTCCCTTGCAATGACTTGGATTGACGTCTCCAATCCTGTTCCTTACTGCACCCAAGCGCCCGCTATTTGTGTGCACCGGGTTCAGTCTGACTAATTGCGGCAATACAGCAGTCAGCCCGACATTCCGCACTGGAAATCGTAAATAAGCAGTGGACTGGCGAGGCGGGGGGGGGGGGGGGGGGGCAGAGTGAGCTGTGCGGATAAAGGGACCCTTAATCCGTTGCATCCATCTCACTTCCCCAAACTTGTTGCATTCAGCGAATTCCTCCCGTTACCAACCAGACCCCCTGTGAGTGCTGACTGCCAGAGGCTTCCCAGAGTAGGACTTTTTTAACAAGAGATTGATCGCACTTGAGGTTCGTAGAGGTGACAACGCAACCTCAGCGAACACCAAGGGGGGGGGGGGGAAGGGGCGCATTATCTCAGCGTTTCGTTAGAACCCAGTTTGTGTGTGTGTGTGTGTGTATATATATATATATAAAGTAATGAGATTGTGGAATTTATCTCGAGGGCATTTTGAAAGCTGCCAGATACACAGGTCATATATATATATATATATAGGTTTCTCCCCTCCATCCCAAGGTACTCACCTGTGCTCGGGGAGGTGTGTGACACCGCTGGCAATTGTGTATATGGAGAGAGCCGGGGCTTGAGGCGATGACTGACCAGATGAGAGGTACTGTACTGGAAGTTGCGGAGACTTGGATGGAGACGAGTCTGGATTCGGTAACTGTAGCTGTTGGATTAAGATGCGGATCCAACACAACACACACAGACACACACACACACAGACACAGACTCTCTTTCTCTCTCTCTCACACACACACACACACACACACTCGCTCTCTCTCTCTCTCTCTCTCTCTCCCCCTCTCTCTGATCACTTCGCTTGACTGGAAGTGGATCTGGCGCTGGGTTTGGTCTGTTGGATGGCGAACGTGAAACTGGGGGACGGGTTCTCCAGCCGCCAACTGAAGGAGTCTCTGGGTCTGGATGCTGTTGCTCTGTGCGTTAACCGATGCACACACCCAGACTCCGGTCGGCGAGACCTCTCGATGGTTTGGCTGCTGCGCGTCTGACTGCGGGGATCTGTCCAGACGGGCGGTGGTACTGAAACCAGCGTCTGGGGGTGTGAGAGCGTTTTTCTAGTTCACTCCCCCCCCCACTCCCCCCACTCCCCCCACTCCCCCCACTCCCCCCCCCTCCACCCCCACCACCACCACCACCACCGGTAGCGTTAAAAAAAAAACCTCACACTGTTGTCCTGGAGACGTGACTTCGTCAGACATTTAAAGGTGGTCTTGGAACAAAAAACAAATCGACGGCAACTTAGAGCGACACAGACGGAGGTAATAACGTGTGTGTGTGTGTGTGTGTGTGTGTGTCTCCCACCACCGCGGCGGGGAGTTGACTCATGTGATTTCATGAGTCATTTTTTTCTTCTTCTTTCATTAATTATTATTATTATATATATATATACACACACACACACACACATAAAAAAAAGGATTTTAATGTGCATATCGGATAAGCTGATTGCATTGGCTGAGGTGAAAGGTGTTCATGTGCGTCCGCACGGACATACATATAATGCGTCATCGGGTTATCTCTCTCCCGGACTGTGCTGCTCAAATGGCATTTTTTTTTCTTTTATTTGTTTTATTTTATATTTTATTGTTTTTTCAAAAAAAAACTGCATTTTTTGGGGGGGATGTAGAAATGGCAAACTGGCAGCAACCTCCCCCTCCCCCTCCACCCCCTCCAGCCCCCCCACACCACCCCCTCCACCCCCTCCAGCCCCCCCCCCCCACCACCCCCTCTACCCCTCCAGCCCCCCCCCTCCAGCCCCCCCCCCTCCAGCCCCCCCCCCCACCAACACCACCCCCTCTACTCGCTCCAGTCCCCCTCCACCCCCTCCAGCCCCCCTCCCCCTCCACCCTCTCCAGCCCCCCCTCCCCCTCCACCCCCTCTACCCCCCCTTCCCCTCCACCCCCCAACTGCTCTTCCTTCAGAACAGTGTGAGAGAAAGAGAGGAGAGGCTCTTCCTTGGTCATAAGGCATCACAAATTTTTGGGGTGCGTTTCTGAATCAGGTCCCTCCACCCCTACTCCTCCACCCCTCCAACCCCCACCCCACCACCCCCTACCCTCCACCCTCCAACCCCCACCCCTCCACTCCTCCAACCCCCACCCCTACCCCTCCACCCCCTCTCTCTCTGCTTCACCGCGTTATAAGGAGGCGCCCTGATCCGTTGCTGTTTCTAAGGCTATCGCACTGGGAGAAGCGCCTCGAACACAGACAACAGACACCACCACCACCACCACCGACAGCGACAGCGGCCGAGTTGCCATCGTGCGCAATATCTCATTCGCCATTCGTTAACCGTTCGGATCCCCAATACGCGCGGAACGTGTAAAAACGGGGAGGGGGGGATTTTAATTTCAAATCGCCTCGTCAAACAAGTGGGGGGGGGGGGGGGAGGGGGGTGAAAAAAAATAACAGGGAGAGAGAGGAAGAGAAGCCCTAAAGCTAAACACGAGTAATAAAAATAAATACTATCAAAGCTCAGAGTGAGGTGGGAGTAAAATCAGTGGGTTTATATATATATATATATATGTGTGTGTGTTTTAATATATATGTGTGTTAAAACACCGACGAGATTGCTTGAGTGATGCATTAGAAAACCAATGAGGGGGGGGGGGTTGGGGGGGGGAGACCACCACGACGACGACAATTTATATAAATAGATATATATATATAATATGTATATAACCAGAGAAGGACTCAGTCGGTGCTTTCAGACAATGGAACATCTTTTTTCCCCCAAATGTCAAGAGCAGCAAAGTCCACCTCCAATGCATAACACATGGCATTGGCACTCGGTTTAGTATTGCGGATCAAGTCTGTGTGGGAGACTTGAGCCGAAAGGTTGGAACCAGCGTCCAGTTCTTTGCCCATAACCACTCTCCCCTGAACTTTCTCCCAACTGGAAACCTGTTCCACGCGGAGCTGTCCTTTAGTCTTAAGTGAATACTTTTAATAGGTTTTTTTTGGGGGGGGGGGTGGGGTGGGGGGGGGGAGAGAGGGAGAGCATTTTTGATCTTCAGTGCAGGTCCATTTAAGATTCTAGACCCTGTGCGAGTGAGGTTTCTTTACTGCAATGGTTCACATTTTTGCATCCCTTTGCGCTTTTGCATTACATTATTTGTGTTAAAGCACCGACCTGATTGCTTGAGTGATGCATTAGAAAACCAATGAAAGAGGGTGGTGAGGGGGGGGGGGGGGGGACGACGACCACGACAATTTAATTCGGAGCAAAACCATTGCACAACCTCACTTCCCGAGGTTCTGCTTTTTTATCCCCTTCGTAACTGCCTTAAAGAAAATGTAGGAGGGTTTTTTTTTAAATGCAAAATTGCCAAAGAATGCAAACGAGAGGACAGTATTCCACCTCTGATTGTTTTATGCCCTTCGTTGGATAACTCCGCAACATTCACATTTTCATTTCCACAGTTCTTACCCCCCAAAAAACCCCCACCCCCATAATCTCTGCTGTTTTAATCAATGCAATCAATTCGTTTGCAAGAGATTTCGCCTTTCCCCATCCTGTGATCAATCTTAATAAGCTTTACCACAAACGGTGCAGACTTTGCTATCATTAGAGATGTGCCAACACATTACTTACAATCATTCTCATTGCTTAATTGTAGGTTTCTCCAGCAGTTGGGGTTGATGATCCCAATCCTATTTATGAACATTTTTTCCCCCCCAGTTGCGTCACCTGGGGATGAATTGTCAATTTCTTACGAGGAAATACGCAAATGCTTCATGACTAACACCCGCATTGCCTATTAATTCACATATTCCTGATTACTTTGCAAATTCTGTCGGATACCAACTAATCCCCATCAATTTCCTGCGCACTTAACATTATCCAGCGCCCTCCACAGGATGAACTCCTCCACTATTCTTTGCAGTCTGAGTGTAAACACCATATGGTGCAGGAGGTATATTACCAGCTTTTATTATACAGGATCAAATAGCAAATTTCATCCGAATCACAAGTCAAGGTAAATAAATCTTTCAAGAACCCGGACACGTGGGAGATGGCAATCAGCCTCACTCTATACTGTAAAGGTGATTTACATTGCAAAGCTTTGCTGCCTTTGAAATTGGAAATCACTCTGAATGGAACTGTTTGTAGAGGCATTTAATTCTGTTTGGAAACCATAAAACGCTCTGGACCGATTAATTTTTCACCCTGCATGTTTTTGCTTATCTAATTCTAAGCCTATGTTTTTTTTCTCTCTGGGGGACTTACGTTTGACATTAAATTCCTTTTCCAGATTGTGACTCATTCGCTTGTTTTTAATGTGGACGGATGTTGACAGATGTGGTAATTGTAAATGCTGGGTTCAAGCCTGTGGGAAAGAGAGATTTAAAAAAATAAATATATAAAAATGAATCTAATAAATATTCTCTGGATAAATTCTAACCTGGTTCCAATTCGTACAATAGTTTCACGATCACCAAGTGCTAAATTAAATAGTATTTATTTTAATATTGATATTACGCAATATAATTTGCTCGTTCATTTA